TTATGATTTGTTCGTTTCACTTTAAGTTACAATCAGATCCAAATTCTGACACTTCAGTCTGATCCTATCGTGTTTGTAAACAATTTTGTCATGTAAACAAAAAACAACGAACCAGGCCATAGATTTTGATATAGACCAATAAAATGTGCTAACTAGTTAATGCCAACACCCAGAACGATAAAAACCCATCATTAGTATCAAAATGTAAACATTACAAGTTTGTAAACAACAACATACAGCCTCGGGCAAAAAAAACTTGCGAATGATGTTTGTGCCTATAAGTTGCTTATTGTGGGCCTTCTAACAACGAAACTTGGTACACAGATTTACCATGATAAGGTTCATCGAAACGTAAAGTACAAGTTTGTAAATAACAACAAACAGCCTCAGGCATCAAAACTTGCAAGTGATGTTTGTGCCTATAACTTGCTTATTGTGGGTCCTCCAACAATGAAACTTGGTACACTTATATACTTTGGTGGTGAAAGGAACATGTGAACGACAACAAAGAGTCTAAAACAATAAATACATTTACTAAAGTGTGGAACATAGGGATGCCATAAAAAGCAAGGAGACAAGACAGGGATGACCTACGTAGCTTCCACTTTCCTTAAGCACCATTCATTTAGTGTTGGCATATCAACGTGTTCAGTTTTCCGTGTACGCAAGCCTTCCAATGTAATTTGCTTTTGGCTTAGCTGGTTTTCCTCCTCTGATGTCACGCAGATTGAACATGACGCTACAATTGAATAATGAACACAGAATGGAAAAAACTTTTAATACCTCTGATACATTTTTTTAGTGATGACCTGTCTACACTATACTTGGGGGTGGATGGGATACCGTATGCTGTGAGGTTCCCATACCAGCCACTCAGCTCCATCCATCACAAGAAATTTCTTGCAATCTGGAGACAGATGCAAAAAGGAAAGAATTCAAAGGCTGTTGTTCGGGGAAGTGGCGGATGTTTTGGTAAATAATAAAGAAGAAAAACATGAAAACAATTTTTTTATGTCTTTTACCCATACGTAACTTCTTACCAAATAACTGCCCACTTTGCCTTTGAGCAAGTGGAGGGGGACCCCCAATGTGCATGTGCAGTGAGGGTTAGTATGGCTGGTTTGTGTCTGTTCGACTTTTTAGTTGCAACATCGTTCTTTTCTATGCCTACCTACATACCTGAATTTGTGTGGAAAAAAAGAGCTGTCCTGGTGTAGTTGATTTGTTTGTTGTGCCTTTGCCTTTCTACCTCGTTACCAAGTTGTTGAGACATGCATATACTCGGTTTGGAGTTGGGTGTCATTGGTGGTTTAATTACCCCGGTCTGCTCCTGCATGCTAAGTGAGAGTATACTGTGTCATAACACAGTGGTTTGAGGTTTGCCTTGTGTTGTATTGTGTTGTAGGTTGGAACCCCTACCAGCTGAGTTGCCCTGGTAGCTCAGTTGGTAGAGCGCTCGCCTAGACTGCAGAGTGTCCTGGGTTCGAATCCCACCCAGGGCAGCTCTTCATTTTTACCTTGGTAAAAAAAGAGCTGTCCTGTGCGTAGTTGATTTGTTTGTTGTGCCTATATACCTCGTAGTTTTCACATACATCCCTCCTTTAAGCTATTCTCAGTTTTTGATTTCAAAACATTTGTGTTATGGTGCGAAAAAGCCAATATGCTACTGAGTACTGGCTTACCACAAGCAGCCTTCCACAATCAAAGTCTCAGTGGTCACACATAGGTAGAGCTTTGCATCAAGGAGTAGCTATACATTACGATGGAGAACTGGCAAGTCATCATCCCCCCTAGGCCAAGGCTGTGTAGTAACAACGTAGCTACATGCGCGCAACCTGTAATCATGCGCACGCATGTTGTAACACAGAGGGTTTTGCACATACGTACATTTTTCTTATTGTACCCTCGACGCGCACGTGCAAGGGTTACAGTAGTTGGTTTGTCTGTGTGTCTGTCTGTCTGTCGACGCTTATTCTGGCACTACAGGCTACGAGGCGGCCTATTAGCGGCTTCAGAACTACGCCAACCTGAAAAAATAAGAAGGTGATTTTCCTGAAACGACTGCGTTTGAGAGATATGCCATGAAAACAAGCGAAAAAGGCAATATGCATATATAGCTAATCTCACCGGGCTTACCGCGACCTGATCTTCTCGCTCTGTGTACCTTGCGGGCTCAAGAAGTCACAACGAAGGGCATGTATCGACTCCCGCATGCTATCTACTACTGTAGCTAGCCCGTGTCAGACACTCCGCTAGCTACTAGCGGGAGACCACAAGTAAACACATACAAACAGCCCAGCCCATCAACTAGCAGGTATCGTGCATGTGCAGTTCGCCGAGGGTTTGCACTTTAGTGCTTTTCATTTTATTATGTTTCAGTAATTTCACAACATGAAAATACTGGCTGTTATATAACCTATGAAATTAATGACCTTGTCACTGTCCTCCTTTTTGGGCCCCCATGAGGTGTAACTTTTCCCTGAACCTTTGCAATATTAGCGTTACAGGATGCAACAGTGGCAGAAAGCAAGGGAGAGAGTAAAAGATTTCGGATGGACTGATTGCAATGGCAAATTTTTTTTCCCACTTTATTTGCAGTACTTGTAAGCACTCTGGAACCCATTGACTTCGATGTGAGTTTTTTGGGTTGATAATCACCAAATAAACACCACATCTGTATTATGAGACAATCGCTTTCTTAAATGTTGACCTTGTTATGGGAATGTGTTTGTCATCCTTTGGTAGCTCTACATAATTAACCCTCTGCGCGCATGCGCAGCGAGGGTTACAGTACTTGTTCTGTCCATCTGTCCGTCTGTCCGTTTGTCCGTCCGTCCACGTTTTTTGCCACCACGCGCGACAAACAGGTAAAATAGCGACATCAACGGGTTCAGCGCTACACCCGCTTATTTTTGTGAAAGTGCCGCGTTCAGAAGTTATGGCATGAAAACCAAGTGAACAAGCCAATATGCAAATTAGCACAGGCTTACCTCGACTGGGTCCGCCTTGCTCTGTGTACCTTGGAGGCACAAGAAGTCACAACGAAGGGCCTTTATCGACTCCCGCATGCTATCTACTACTGTAGCTAGCCCGTGTCAGACTCTTCGCGAGCTACTCTGCGAGTAAACGCATACTACAAATAGCCCAGCCCATCAATTAGCGGTACCGGCATGCGCAGTTCGCCGAGGGTTTGCACTTTAGTGCTTTTCATTATGATAAGTGATATGCTCCATAGCAGCAGCTTTGTATCACCCAACTCGCCCATCACCACACAGCCTTTCCTGCTCACTTCATGTTTATCCCACTATTTTGTGATATTACCACATTGATAATAAAAGTTGTATGCTACCTTTGGGGTGGCTCATATGCTCCTGGTATAATAGCAGTGTACCTCATGCTCTCTCATTTGGTCTGTTGCTACCTCTTTTAAATACAACATTGTTCATTTCCTTCATACATTTATTTATTACTCAAAGTTCACAAGTGTAGCATCTGCATAATGAGGTGCAAAAATGTGCCCAGAGCATGTGGTCTGTCACACCCCCACATGTACAATTATATACAGTGCCTGTGAGGCATAGTACTGTTGTAAAGCTCAAAGGTACATTTGCAACTGCAACATTTTAACAACTGCCCATAACAGTGAGTGAACAGTCCATGTGGCTCTTCCTGCAGTATCAATAGAAAAGATTTGCCTTGATATATATAGACCAATAAACTCCTCATGGCGTCAACATACCAGATACATATGGCCTGTTCCTTGTTAGATGAATCGACACATTCATCAAGCATAATGGTAAATTATCTATTTGCTGAAGCTCCGCAATGATTTTATGAAGAATTGCATGGGACACCAATCCTAAAATTTCCCATTTTGAATTTCAGGGCTTACGTACGTACATACTTGTCACCTTTTTTTTCTGCCAACAACAGTTCTAAGCTTTATGTAAGCTGCACTATGAGTGCATGTAGATTTTATTTAAATCCAGCTAAAGTCTGCGAGTCATGCAGTGCAAAACCAGCCTGAGGTATTCAGTCGCCAATGTCTATCACTAAACACCATCTTCACCGTAAATCAGCCGAAGAAAATAACTAAATAATAGTTAGACAGTGAGTCCGTGAAATCTACGCGATTTAGAAGGCCGAGGGCCCTGGGCTGTAGCGTCCTAGCGTAGCGAGGACGCTACTAAGGGCCCGAGGCCTTCTAAATCGCGTAGATTTCATTGGACGAGCCTGCCTAACTTATTTAGAGCGGGCGCAGGCTCTGCGCGCCCTTAGCAACCAAAACGCGATGTTTTGCGAAGACATCATGGAGTGGTTGGAAGACTCGCAAGAAGACAGCCACAACGAAATAAACTGCATACTGCTATAGGCAAGTGACATTACGAAACTGACGCTACGGCTCAGCCACCACCGCCGTCTAACGACGAGCATGCGCATGTGCACAGGACCAGCTACGCGTCTCTCATTTTCCTGTAATACTATGTTGAACTCAGCGCGTGGTTTTCTAATTAACGCGCACCTACTATATGCGCTCGCACAAAAAACGCCCCGGGCACTTAGAATACACGAAAACGTGAAATCTACTAGATTTAGAAAACACGAAATTCAGCGTGAGTGAGCTCTAACTTCATTTAGTACTGGCATTTTCGCAGCGGCCTGCAGCTGATTCAACCACTAACACTTCTTGTGTTAGTTGACCTTGATACTGTTCAGATTTGATTCAGATAAAGAACAGTGTATAAATATAAGAAAAGTTGAGGACAAGCAGTCTCAGTACCCCCCCTTAAAAGACAAGTCTGTACATTACTAATGGCAACTCACAGCGGCATTTGAAGACCAATTATGGGCATTCAACAATTATCAAGTCACCTTATCTCTGCTATCCACACACGTTGGGCTCTGCTCCAAGAATAACAAATAAGTTTAGTCATGTTGTTCTTTATGCTTCGATGGCCAGTTATATATTTATTCTTGGTGTCTAGCGTTATTGTTCATGCATGCATACGTATGTCTATACATAAGAGTTTAATGCTTTCTCATTTCAATTGCAGTATCATGACAACAACCACCTGCAAAAATCAAGAAGGCTACAATAAGGTGGGGGAAATATACGAAGTTATAGAGGAGGATTATTCCGAAGTGGTGGCAAATGTGCTGGACGTGTTTGTGAAATACAAAGAATTTTATCCTGTGCTAGTGGAGGTGAGTGGAATGTGTCGAACATACTGAGAAAAACATATAATATATATATATATTATATGTGACCGTGCACGCAAAAACCAACCTTACGCCGCAATGTTAAATTTTCGAGTACGCGTGAATATAACGCCTACACCAACCGGTATAAGCAAAACCACTTTTTTGCCTATAAGTAAAGCTTCCCATCAGAGCTACCTACTGGTACCTTTCCTGCCTCCTAGGACGCCTTCTCGCCAGAAAATAAACTATTTCTCTGTAGCGGTAGTCAGTGAACGGAGCAGCGGACACGGACGCTCACGGCGGGGGTGTACGGAAATCTTGTACACACCCTTTTTCCCCGCGAAACTAGGCAACAAAGATGCAGCGACTACCAGTCACTTTCCTTTACTCCGCACACGGGCACAAAGGTTCCTGAAGAACTTGGAGTGGTTGCTGAGTAGATCATCTAAGCTGCCGCCTTTAAAAATACGACAGCCTAGTGTGCACGGCTCAAGAAAGACGGGAGCCGGCAGCTGGCTAAGCTGGCCTGTTAACTGTCTAGTTTAGAATCTAGAACCAGCATCCATAGCACACACGGGCCGGAGTTTTCACGGTAAACACGATCGAACGACCTGTCTAACATGAGTGACAGCACGACGGTACATGCAGCTGACGCAAAGAAAGTCAAAGTGATACCTCACTTACACCAAGATCTGCCACGACAGGTTCGGCCTGAAGTCTATTCAGCCCGGTAGGGCCGATAGAAGCGTTCGTCTGCTGTCAAACTGCTCGCTTACACCGCATCTCTCTGGTTGGCAAAAAGTTCCCGGGAAAAATCCCGTAACGTGACGTCATATTCGTTGGCGGACAAGAATACGGAAAAATTTCATTCCACTATTTCGCGTTTTGTATAACCCCGCGTGGCCCGCGTTTGAAAAATCGTAACTTTTGAAGGGTTTTCCCCAAAAATATACAAAAATAAGCGGTGTATCAAGCACATTCCAAGCTTTACAACGATACAAAAAACGCTACTTCACAAAAATGTGGCGTAAGGTTGGTTTTTGCGTGCACGGTCACATATATATATACATTTTGAGTATTGATAAAAGGGGGTCCTGACCACATTTCTGTTTTTGAACCCAAGGAGCAAGCAGAGGTCTAGTTTTCCAAATTTTAAACATCTCAGGGACATTTATGCAGACACCCTTTGAAATAACAACTGAATGGTGTTTACCATTACACAGAGTGCCTTTTAAAATGTGCCTGTTTGTCAATTCTCACTTTGTAGCCTCCGTGAAGGAGGTCCAGTAGATGTTTGGGTGAATGCTTAGGATTCCTGATTGACCAAAAAAAAGAGCTAATTTCCCCGCGGAGCATGCCATACAAATGCTTTGCACTCCTAAAAACTCTTGGCCCCCCAACTTTATCCTCAAAACAACCTTGGCTTTAGTTGCACCTCTTTGCCAACCCAGTCATCCTGGAAAACAACTGAATTTTGTAAGAAATCTGCACGACCATAGGTGTAAATGAGAGACGCAGGATATGTGTTGTTTGGCATTTGTTTTTGTTTCTCAGGTAAAAAAGGATGTAAGGGCTACTGCCTTACTGCAGAATTACAGGGCAGTGTACGCTCTGTGGAAAGATGAACAGGAAAAATGTGTGAGAGTGGTGTGTGAAAATGGAAAGGTGAGTAGAGTGTGCATCAAGTTTCTGTTTCTATGAAATGGAATGGACCAACCATTCCGTTCATTAAAACGGAACAACCGTTTTCGCTATCATCATTGGTGTGGTTTTAGTAGTAAAGAAAACTAGACCCAACAAGCATAGCTGTCATTGGCCACAGTCACTCCGAACCTTCTATTTTCATGTGAACGGAATGGAGGGAAACCTCAGTGTGGTAGAATAATTTGGTAGCAATAAGAATTTTAGTCATAGAAAATACAGGTTTCACGCGGAAGCAAGTGCGACCCAAAATGGTTGTGGAATGTGGCGCCCAGAGTGCTTGAGGGTGCTACCCACAGGCTCCAAGGGACACCAAGGTTCCACATCCAACTGCTTTGGTCGGTGTGCATTCAAAACACAGCAACGCAGCACACTCAATCTCACCTTCAACTTCACTGTCACATTTTTTCTGAATGAAAGACACTGCGACCGACTGACCATTGATGGCAGCTACCTACTGCGTACCTTTACAGGAAGCCCTGCCTTCTTCTCTTGCCATGCACGCACTGGCAGTCTTTGCCACATCGCACTGTTTTGTCACGACAAGTGTGGAAACAAGTTTGAGAATTGTGACCAATCACGCTTCACTCCTTACGCCACAGAATTTTTAGTGAGCAATGCAGCAAACACCTTTTCAACATGCATGCTAAAGTTTATAATAGTACCAGCCCCAGTACTGGAGCTTAGCTAATGCATAAAACACCAAGGGGTTGATTCTCAACATTGCACCTCTGCTAAGAGAACTGTGAATGTAGGCCAAGTCTTTCTGCTTCACCCATGTCACAATTAACCCTGGTGTTCTCGTAGGCTTTTGTTCTAACACAAACGCGAACTAGCCCTCCATACAGACCTCATAACGCAGAATTAACTTGCAAATAATCAGGATTCAATAATAATCGTACACATGAAAACCAGGCACAAGTCAGCCAAAACTTTTTCCGACATTCGCCGGATTTGATGTGTGGTACCTTTTTTGTATAAACAATTTTGCTATGGATAGCCTGTTGCATTTTGGAGCTATTTTTGAAGGGGGGCATACTGAAACCCTTAGATGGTGAGTTTTCTATGCATGTCGTGTGTGATTGTGAACCATCTTTACTTTTGGCGCTATCTTTTCGGTTAGGCACCATCACTCTCAGAACAATCATTACATTGGGTACCGTCTTTATTTTCGGCACCATCATTCCGGGCACAATCTATACCTTAGGCAGTGGAGCAAAATTTATGTATACACACTGTTACATATTGCCAAGCGATACACCCTCCTAATGGCCTCACACAGCCTCCATGGACCAAAAAAAATCTACTATGAATGTAGCAAATACATTCACAACATCTGCTTTGATGTTTCCACATTCTCTCAGCATTACGTGCCCGTGAAGGAGGATTATTGATTTAGGCATCCTTTCTTTTGACGGTCGAATCACCCGTCTCGTATACATGACTTTGCTGCATTCTTTCATATAATTAATTACTTCCAGTGAGGTTCTTGAGCTCTTCCCAGAATGGTAAGTGGTATTTGACAATCTTCCAGCGTTTGTATAGGCCCATGCATCGAGTCTTCATATGCCTTGCAGTCTGGTCGTGTTCTGTCAGCAGTGCTTGCTGTGTGAAAGAGGTCTGATTGCAGCTTGTGCGACATAGGTGCGGTTGAATACAGTACTGGTTTGTGTTCACTATTCCCTTGCTGAAGTACGGTCTGTGGTATGCAGCTCTAAAATTTCAGCATTGCAAGGTTCCCGTCCTCCACGTGTGCTGACTGGGTTGTCCTCTGAGGATATGAGCAACTACAGAAAATGCAATGGCATTTTGCCTGCTGATTAGTCTGGAGAACATACACAGCCACCCTGACTGTATAAAAGCGGGTTAAAGCACCTAATTTGCAGGGTCACAATGGCTCATTCGGAACGCAGTCGGGGTGACGAAAAGAAATACAGTATGCTGACAACTTCACTAGCCTGATGCTCTACATAGGGAGGGAAAGCAGTAGTGAGCTCCAGCCATGCTTGTGTATTCCTCATGACACCATGCTCATCAGAGCTAAGACAAAACCCGAGAGCCATCATGTTCATGGGCTTGCTACTGCCTTTGTCTCGCATTGCACATAGATTTTATTTTCATTACCACGTTTCCATGGCAACATGTACTGCCTGCATCCAGGTGCGTCAACTTTCAAGGGAAAAACTTTCAGAGTGTGAGGAGATCACTGGATTACTTGGGATTGGCTATAACATATGATACAAATATGCCCTTTGTCTTGCCATAATATCTGTTTGAGACCAAAGTCTGCAGCGCAGTGTCAGCTTTTCTTCCATCTGCCGCTGTATTTTTAGCGTCAAGCAGTAGTATTTCGCAGAATACATCAACCAGAGACTTTCTATTCGTTTAAAGTGTTCAAACGGGAACTGCAGTAACAATCCCTCTTTTGCTACTGTTAGATTTAGTCTGCAATAGTGAGAATGAAGAGGCTTAGAGCACTGTGTGACGGAGGGTGGTGGCTCTACCAATGAGAATACAGAGGCATAAGGCCATACCACAGATAGTAAATTAGTGACCTTCTACCACTTACAAAAACAAAGAAAATTCAATTTTTAAAGAACACTAGAGTGAATCCGTGGATATATGCTGCTTCTTTGAAGCTGGTTGCATCTGATTTCTCTTACGTTTGAAGACTTTTGGTCGTAGAAACAGTCCCCACAAGATATCAACTGCTTCCTCTACCTAACCATGTCATTAGGATCCCCACAGTGGACACACACATCATCAAACACTCCTGAAGAGATTTAATAGGCAGTTTCAACTGGATCGGTACATGCAAGGTTTGCTGTTCAGGGGATATTTCTTGTCGAAGGGGTTCAGAAGACTTCCACAGCTATACACCATGCCAACAAGCTAATCCTTCTTATATCGATAGTACTATCATGGTCGTCGAAACTAGCTTGGCATACCTATAGCTAGAGCAAAAACTGTCGACATGTGCCTCCTTAGCTAGGGCAGATTGCCGCACCCGACCGCAATCGTAAACACTTCCGGTATTCCCTCCAGTGCACGACCAGCAAGTTTTCCTTTATACCATAAATTAACTTATTGCATGCAGTTGCCAAATGGCATGTGGGATTGCTTGTTACACAGTGGATTTACTTAGTATGGCCTAACAGCTCAATTAGTTGTCCCACTGTTATAATTATGTATTATAGTTACTTTTGTGCAATTTCTTGAAGAGCCGTTAATAGCCAGCTCTTGGAGCTCTAAAAGGATAAGTAGCCCTCCCTTTCTGTGAAAATGGCCCATATCATGCTGGCAGCTAAATGCGTATACAGGATATATTGGTGGTGGTTTTTATTTATTTATTATTTCTCTATCTATCTATATATACCTATGGCTGGTATGCTATGAACTATAATTTCATGTATGTATATGGAATTAATTTATGCCTACTTATGCCGGATTTCTGTGTATACGGTCACAAATTACGTATGCACTGTTTATTCTTTCAGACTACACTCCACTTCCACCAAAAGCAAAACAACAGATCACTCGTGGTAGGGGAGGGAAAATATGACTTAAATCAGATCAATGGACTGGTGAAGTTCAGTAAAAGGTTCACTCACTTCTTGCAACTGGCCATTGACGACAATAGTAAGTTTTTTTATATTTTATACTGAACACCCCATGTGGTCATGAGAGAAACCCAGGCAATAACGATTTTGTACCATTTCCATGGTTACTATCTTAACTTAAACTTTAGCAACATAATTATATACAGTGGGCTGTTTTATGGTTGGGAGGACTACACTAGTGTTTGCGTTATTACAAGTTATGACAATTAGCTATCTAGGGCTCAGGTGATTCAAATAAACTTTAGCAACATACAGTGGGTTGTTTTATGGGAGGGAGAAAAACCAATTACATGCCGACACCATAAGGGCACAGGGACACTTATAACATCATTAACCAATTACACGCCGACACCATAAGGGCACGGGGACACTTATAACATCATTAACCAATTACACGCCGACACCATAAGGGCACGGGGACACTTATAACATCATTAACCAATTACATGCCGACACCATAAGGGCACGGGAGGTTTCACCCGCGTTTGTAAACCTTGTCCGTTTTTAAGTTCAAAGTACAAAGTGCACTGTTGGCTAGCTGAACCTTTGGCCTAGGCTTAGTCGCTATAGCTCAAGGGACAGTGGGCCTCTATATACAATACGAGTGTCACTTATAACCGAAAGTGGCACTGCCAGCGTGCATGTAGGTGACAGTGGCGTGTAATCGGTATTTACTCCAACATTATTATTGGAGCAGGACGTACTACATTCATACTCTCTCTCCCACCCCTAACCTATATACCTCTTTAACAGGAGACCACCATTTACCAGTCCATTGCCTGTCTCTCTCTCTCCCACCTCACTTCAACAGCTAGTGAGCCGCCATTGTTTTTAAATTGTTGAACATGACATATCATTTAACCCTGAGCCACCATTATCATTCACTGAACTTTGTACCTGTCTCTCTCTCTCCCACCTCTACCCTACCCCTTTAACAGGAGCCACCATTGTGTTGAGAACGTATCAAACCCTGAGCCACCATTATCAACTGAACTTTGTGCCTGTCTCTCTCTCCCCCACCTCTATCAACAGGAGCCACCATTGTTTCTAATTTTTATTGAATGCCATTGAACATGAACATATCATTTAACCCTTGGCGTGCATGCACAGCGATGTACTATTCTGGCTATGAAGTGACTACAGTGCTACGTAGGCATGGGTTTTCAAAGGGTGATATGTTGTTATCTCCACTAAACATGGCTTCAGAGCAATGGAATTCTAGCTAGCAAAAAACTATTTCTTACCTTAGGCCTGTACCCTCAGTTCCACATTGTTCAAATAAAGTAGTAGACCTGACAAACACTCCAACAGGCCATTATTGAGACATAATGCAACACAACTACCTGGTAGGGTAACCAATAAATCACCAGTGACACCAGCATGCAGTATGAGGACCAACCCTGTGATATGCTACCACAACTGCAACTTACCATTTTAGCTAAGAGAGCGAGACTAGGTGTACAATGGTGCAGACAAGTCAGTTCTATGTAGTGAAATACTGCAACACATTGGTTACTGAACTGGCGAAGTGTGCTCTATGAAAGCCTTTGGTTGCCCTCTGAAGCATCCAAATGTAGCTCCTTCATGTACAATGCATATTGCAGGGTTTCATGGAAGCAGGGGGGTTTACCCTCCTTTTTTTATTTTTATTCCCCCTCATTTCTCCCTGCTTTACAGAGGTGTATATACTTCGGCAAATGTATATAGTATAGTCTTTTGGAAGTGAATGTGTGGCAAGTGGTCAGTCGACCACCCTACCCTGTATTGTGTCATAAAGCAATGTCGACCAATACAAATTTCCGTGTATAACCATTCAGAAAGGGGCGTCTGCGGCTGCAAAACCTGCAGAATATATCGCAGAATAACACACCAAAAAGTGTATGAAAACGACATTCTCTATAAAGGGGGGAGGCAGTGAATGTAGGTATAACAACTACTAACACACAGAATGGAACATTCCTATGAGTTATACTGAGAAGGCAGTGAATGTGCGAGTGGCAAAGAAGCTTGTAGGCTTCACACTTCACACTCTCAGAGAACAGCCATTGGGTGTAAAGAAATTATTATGGCACCTACAAAATTTGTAGCTCACCAGTAGCAATGTCGAGCCTCTGTATATCACCATTCAGAAAGGGGTGTCTGCTCCTGCACAACCGGCAGAATATTGAGGTAAAACATATATCCATAGTGTAATGAAAAGCACTAAAGTGCAAACCCTCGGCGAACTGTGCATGCGCATTGATGGGCTGTGCTATTTATGCGTTTCCCCGCTCGTAGCTAGCTCGCAGAGAGTCTGACACAGGCTAGTAGATAGCATGCGGGAGTCGATACATGCCATTCGTTGTGACTTCCTGAGCCCCCAAGGTACACAGGAGTGAGCGGATCAGGTCGCTGTAAGCCCAGTGATTATCACATGCCAATAATCAATACGCGTGCGCACCACTAATTGATGGGTTGGGCCACGCTACATGGTCTAGGACTGTGCCAGTTTCTCGTGCTCGAACGCTGTCGTTTCAGAAAAATCTTTTTCATGTGCTTGCAGCGCTGAAGCGTTTGGTATCGCTCTTAGGCCACCTTGTAGCCTGTAGTGCGAGAATAGTCGTGGACAGACAGACAACAGACAGACAGACACACAGACAGACAAACCAACTACCGTAACCCTCGCTGCGCATGCGCACCGAGGGTTAATAAGGTGTTCATTGCTCACCTTCCCTAGTTCTCTCTCTTTAGGTGTGCAAGACTGGAGGGGGTGAGGGGGTGAGGGGTGTGGGATAAGAGGTCCAACTCCAGTACGACCACGAGCAACAAACACTTGCTGGCTCTAGAGAAGTGAGAGTGAAATTAACATAAATTTTTTTTATGTTCTGCAATAAAGGTTTAGCTCCACACTACCTATAAACATTATGATGCACCCACAAAGTGTCCCCTATTCACAGCTTTCACAGCCTTATCTCTTTCCTCGACCCTGTACATATTGCATGCAGCATGCACGTGGGTGGCAGAAAAGAGACATTTTTACACTATACATTCGCAGTAAAACCACAAAATGACCGAGGGGTGAGGAAAGAAGGAGGGAAAGAAAACAGGGGGGGGATGGGGAAACAGAGGAGGAGGAAGGAGGAAAGGGGCACATATAGGAGAGAAATATTATTATTGGGCTCATGCCGTCCTGTCTGGGCACGGCAACATAATTATTTGTTGGACAACAGACATGTTCGAAGCAAGCAAGCTATGTCAATTGATTATCACACACTGTGTGTGTACAGCAACATTGCAACCGAAATGTATGAACTCTGCATGCACGCACAGAGTTGTATATAGAGGCTGATAAAATCCTCCAGTACCTAGTTCATACATGTCGGTTACCTTGGGCTACTTGTTACTTATGTACACGCAGTATGTACATACCCCATTTTATGTACAATCATCAATGTATGTTATTGATTACATGTAACAATAGACCATGTGATGCCAAGAGAAAAAAGATGCTGGACAGCTGTTTCGGGCTTGTTGGCCCTCATCAGCAAAGCATACCGCAACTTCTCTCTCTGGCATCACGAGTTTATAAAGGCAAAGTTGAGCGCAGCACTTGTGGTTTTGAACGAGATCCCACAAGGCTTTGCTCAGGCGCAGCGCTTGTGGTTCTGAACTAATGAGATTCATCCCCACAAGGCGTTGCCAGTACCGAGCCAAAACCCGAATTCAGAATGCTGACATAGTGGATTGGGCCGCGGCAATGAAGCCAGCAAGCACCCATATCCTGCCAGCGCATACACATGTAACAATAGACCATGTAATGCCAAGAGAAAAAATGATGCGAGCTCTGGACAGCTGTATGACAATTTTGAGTTGAAAATTGGAATCGGTGAGTACAACAGCGGCAGTGATGGGAAGTACTTTGAGATGGGCATCAGTTGAGTCAGCGGCAGTCATGGCAAGAACAAAGAGGTAACTTAAGCTAAGTGGTTTGGGGGTGAAAGGGAGTAGATAGGGTTGGGGTTAGGAACAGATAGGATGACAAGTCTGAAGAATATGGTAGAATGGATGGGATTGTATGAGTTCCAAGGTGATAATGTACTGAACTTCAAGGATAGTATGGGATGCAGCAAACCAGGATCTTCGGTTTGGTAGGAGGGTCTAGTCTACCCATAGAAACTGACCCTGCACCTAGAGATCTGTAGAAGGGGAAAGTATAATACGTGAGTATGAATTAGTTTAGCTTGTATTTTGCATGTCGGGATTTGGCAGTGTTAGCTCATGCGTCTGTAGTATGATGCAGTGAGCCCTGGGCCTGGGGGAATAATCTAGATATGCTAGACGGTGTTCCCTAAATGGAAGGGTATGCTTGCAGCTAGGCTGTGTTCCCCGCGTTGCGCGGTAGTATTATACACGCACAGGGGTGTGAACCTAGGGGGGGAGGGGGAGGCGCGTGGGTTTCTTTCGCCAACGCCAGATTATACGGAAATACAGACGTGCACCGAGCAAAAACCGGGAAGGCCAGGCTTCTATGACTGAGCGTAAGGAAACAGGAAGTTATAATGAAAAAGGGGATGGCAGAGGCATGTGTGATTAGGGCTGCTTTGAAATATGGGGACCATACGGGCGCCAGGGGCTAAGTCTTTGGGTAAACCAAGAGGAGTAACCCTTATCAATTGCCCTTCACCAACCTTCTTTTGTTCATAAGGTTCTTTTGTTGATAAGGGCTAGGGAGCCCAAACAGGCGCTATGCCCCAGATACAGCAGGGTATCCACCCTCAGCAGGTCACCCTCTTCCAGATTGCTGGCTATGGCTGGAGACAGCAGAGCCCCTTAGATAGAAGTTAGACTACCTGCAGAGGTAGAGAGAGCTTCCCCGGGGAAAACACAATAGACAGCAGGAAAGAGGAGCCTATAGTAACATGTGTAGGTGCATGTAGGAA